AGAGTGTTTATTATTTCAAAGTGACAGGTATTTTGTAAATAATGACCTTTCTTAGATTTACAGTACACCTGTTTTGAAACTGAACAGTTTGGCTAAATTTCAATCTAAAAGTCTTAGAACTTTATTAGGGATTTTTCCTCCCAGAGTTCTCTGGACAGATTCCAGTAACAGTAAGACTATTCATTGTTGGGGAGGTTGGTTATGCTCCCATTTTCTACAACCTTTGGCAAGTTCTTTTAAAAAAAAAAAAAAAAAAAAAAAAAAAAAAAAAAAAAAAAAAAAAAAAAAAAAACGCAAAACACCCAAAATTCATAAATGCTTGCAGCTTTTTAACAAAGCTGTCATCTTCCACTTCATAGGAACACAGTAGGCTCTTCAAAATTCAAGTACTCTCAATTTTTCAGTTAAGCAGCATCTTCAAACTTGTTGCTTGCTTTGCCCAGTAAAACAAGCCTTTCCCAGATCAGCTGAAAAGGGTAGATTTCTTTGGCTGCTGTTCCTGCCTGCCTCCTTCTTTGTCCTACAGAGTTGTAAAGGGTAAGCTCTATATACAGACCTTGAAAATCTTTTTCTACCATAGATAAGTAGTACAAGATCTTGTGAAAGTAACCACCATTGAAAAGCTACTTTGAAGCACTAGCATTAGTTAAGGACTTGCCTCCTCCTTATTTATGACAGCCATTCATTAGTGAACGTCAGTGGCAAACGTTTCTCAGCAGAGCCCCTGCTGTACTGTCGTACCTTGGAGAGCAGGGTTCTGATCAGGTGCTGTTGGGACAAGCAGCCCATAGCTCAGTGACTCACCACTTTCTCAACTGGATTTCTGCTGCAGTAGCAGGTGAATTTGGAACAAGGAGTAGGCTCCATAGCCTGTACAGCAAGTGCTACTACCACTGTGGCTTGCACAGCATCTTCCCTGGTGACAGGGGCTGCACAGAGTCTGCTTACGAGCCTGTTCCCTCACCACAAGCCTCAAAAGGGAGGAAAGGAGCCGTTAAGCCCTGTAACACCACACACACCTCTGCAACAGAAAAAAGAAAGCTTACCTGCATTGCCATCCCCAAAGACCCGTCAGCCAGACTGCTTTAATAATTTACATTATTCGGTGAAACTGTGTGCTACCTTAGAGCAGTCTTAGTAAGAGCCTTATAAAGGCTCCTCTCTAAAGGTGTCCAGCCATGGTACTGCATTAGCGGGAAGGCAGAGGAAGATGATTGTCCACTTAATTCTGCTTGATAGTGAGCTTCTAAAAATGGTACTGATCAGCAGCGTAGGTTTAAGCATTACAAGAAGACAGAAAGCTTAAGCTTACTCTCAGATGTGGAAAGTGCATCAGTGTGGGAATTGATACGGAGGAGTTACCACAGCCTGAGAAATCTTGGATTTACCTCTAAACTTTTGTTAAAATGCATATGCCTCTCATTTGCTTGCATTGAGGTACTGGTGGTGTTGAAACACCTAATACCTCAGATGTGATGTGTGTGCAAACACACAGCGTGACCAGACTTGCCTGTAAATAGGATATTTTTTCAAATATATGTTGGATTCACAGATAAAAATTTTAAATTTCATTAGCCCGAAACAATAATTGGGAGTTGTTTCTCTTTTGGCAAGTACTTTACTAAATCATAAAGTAAATTCAATATGCTTTGTAACGTGAGTTTCACAGTTTTTTGCTTTTAGAAGTTCAGCTTTATTCAGTGAGTTCTACAGTGTTAGTATATATAAACACTGCAAAACCTAGCAATTCTCTTTTTAAGAACTGTAGCTTATAGACTCCCATTCTGTTTGACACTATATTCTGAATTTGGTCTAAGATGTGAAGTTCTTTACATCTTTGTTGCTTTGTATTTTAATACACCTTTGGTATGATTGCAGTATCTTCTAGCAACTGCTCAGATATTGTATATTGTAGTGTAAGATTTGTCTTCTCTTTCCTGCTTCCTTTTGTTTCTGCATTCTTTTCAATGAGGCTCCCGACTGAATATGAGAGGAACGGGAGATTTGAGGGCTCAAGGTGAGGGTAAAATTTTTGTTTAAAGTGTTACTTAGGTGAGTTTGAACCTTCCTCCCTGTGATTGTGGCATAGTGGCTTCAGGCAGTAGCTTTTGTTTCGTGTAAGGCTGTGAAACTAAACAAAGGAGCATTTCTGTCTGCAAAACAGCTATTAAAGCACTGACTTGGTTCTAAACTTTCACCTTTCCTGTTGCCTTTTCCCCTGTGTGTTTTGGTTTCTTTTGCTTTTTAGTCATTATAATTTGCTGTTGTCTTGTAGATGTGTAGGTAAGTGGCCTCTAGTGAGGCTGCAAGCGTGTGGGATTGACCACTGAGGGGTGATAACATATTTCTCATCTCCAAAATCACAGATAGTTAAACGGTATTTTTCATGTTACGCTCTTGTTCCAAAATCTGCATATCAAAAAAATACTAGAAATGATGAAACTTTTGCTGGTTCTGCCAACTGTTTTCAAGTCGAATAAGCTTTCAAAAATAAAACGAGCACTGAATAAAAGTTGATGCTCTCCATGCCTCTTTACAGCCTTATTAAATTAAAACCTTAAATTTAAACCAAAATGCTCTTCAATGTGCTTGCTGAATTTTATAACATCTGACAAATCACACAGCTGAATTTGACAGCATAGTCATGTGGCTCTCGCAGTTACTGGAAGTCTTTCTAATAGAAGGTAAAATTGTGGGCTAGGTTATCTTTGAGAAATATTCATTTAGTTTTGACCTTGCTAGCACTTTATTTAACTTTTTCATAATTGTCTGCTTAATAGTGGTACAAGAAAAGTATTGTGTAACCAGAAATTCATTGCCAGCTGTTTTAAAGAGTGGCTTAGTACTGTAAATTGAACTTTGAAGCTCAAAATGAGACCTAAACTGCAAGGTTTGGGGTCAGTTAAGTATTTTCAGAAAATATTTAAGCATGACAGTCATTACATTTAAGTCTCTTGTCCAGAGGACAAGAAAACTTGAAGAGGCGTGCAAATATTCATAAAGCAAATGTGTTATACTTCTTCCCTGGAGGTCCAGATGTAGCTCCTTATTCTTCAGCTGCATGGCCACTGATTTTAATGGAAGTAGAAGACTCATTTGCAAGCTAGAAATTTCTGGAACATTTTTGTCCTTATAACTTTATTTATCCTTACCAAAGGAAGAGCTTACTTTATTTAAAAAGAGTCATAATCTTGGGAAATGCAGCCTCAATATTTTGTGCTTTATCTCTTAAAATTGTGACAGTCATGGTAACCCTCTTACTTGGTGCCTTTACTAAAAACATTGAGGATGTTTCTAATAGTGAGTTCCATCTCTCCTTCCTGCACCTCAGACTCAAAGGCACTTACTGTACAGCTTGTAGCAGAAAAAGATTTCATCACTTTACCTCTGTCAGTTGCTGGTATTAAACAAGTCACTGACCAACTTAGAGACAAAGTACTTCCTTCCTTTTGAAGGGAACCCCACTAGCCTATAGTCTGGTGGGTCTCTAGTGGTCGACTCAAACATCTGTCATGGCGGGGAAGGCCAGAATGAAGCTAAACAGCCCTGAACTGGATGACACCTAGTGGCCATGGTGGTTGGTAGGTGGGTGACCTCTAGTAAGGTTCCCCCAGTCCTGCTCTCCTTCCTTCTGCTTGTAACTAACTATCGTGGGGCTCCATGAGCTCTCCCAGTGCTTGTTCTCCAACCTGCTGCACAGGAGGTGCAGAGGAACCCCCAGGATCTCTTGGCACAGGTTCATCTCCGTTGTGTACGAGTGGGCACCTCCCGTGGGCTGGCACTCCCGGGACATGGGCTGAGCACCCTTCTGCCACAAGTCGTCACTATTTGAATGTTCCAGAAACTTCTAGCACAGAGCTGGTGTTTCAGCTGTCCACGTGGTCTGAGAATAGGAGTTTGAGCGGAACCCGCCTTAAAATTGAGGTTGTAGGTGCTGCATGTAGTTCTGCCTTTGCAAGGCCATTTCCCTCACGCTCCTGGCTCCGGTGAGTTCCAGGTGTCACCCGTGGCACCGCGCCGCCGTCCCAGCCCCAGCAGCCAGTGCTTCACCGCCACTGTGCGTGTGCAGCAGCCGGAGAGCGGGCGTTGCTTGCGGCCGGAGGCTTTAGGCGCTGCTCTAATACCAGCTGTGTGCGTTGAGTGTTAGTTTGCTTCACTAACGTGAAGGGGGTGGAGAAGGTGGCTGGCCCTCCTAACTGAGGAACTCCTGTCTTTCAGCCGCAACGTAGCTGTGGATCAGAAGGACGAGAACAAGGAAGCCAAGCCTCGGTCGCTGCGTTTCACCTGGAGCATGAAAACCACCAGCTCCATGGATCCCAATGACATGATGAGGGAAATACGAAAGGTCCTGGACGCCAACAATTGTGACTATGAACAAAGAGAGCGCTTCTTGCTTTTCTGTGTCCATGGAGATGGGCACGCGGAAAACCTTGTCCAGTGGGAGATGGAGGTGTGTAAACTGCCAAGACTGTCCCTGAACGGAGTTCGCTTTAAGCGGATATCGGGAACATCCATAGCTTTTAAAAACATTGCTTCCAAAATTGCCAATGAGTTAAAGCTGTAACAAGAAAAATAGTTAAGTTGTAAATTAGTTAGCAATTTCAAGTGTTTTTGAGAATTCCGAGGGAAATGTATAGAATAACATTTAGGCAATAACTTCTGCATCCTTCTGAATAGTGATATTAAAAAAAAAAAAAAAAGCTGCTGAGCTGGGAGGGAGAGTTGGACTTTTTTATAAGTGCACTACAGCATTAAAGTTGCCTACTATGTAAAATATTACCCCTTCTGCTTTATTTCCATTGCTCCTAAGTCTTTGACAACAAATTGAAACACAGAATATATTCATTTAAATATGCCTCCTGTTTGTGTGGACGTGTGAATGTACAGTATGTGTGTATAATATATAAAGTATTATATGTAAACAATTCATTTACAACATCGAGCTGTACCAGTACCTCTTTTTGGGCTAATTTTGGTGCTAAAAATTGAAATGGCCAAGGAGGAAACACTTGAGTTAATATTTAAAATAACAGAAGCGATAACCAGTAAATGCAGGTTTACAGTTCACTGCTGTGTTAAGAAAAAAAAAAAAAGTGTGTGAAGGGTTTGGATTTACGGTTGTGAACATTATTAGTCCTGTTTTCTAAGTAGATCTCATGAGATTATTAAAAATTCACTTTTACCGAGTAAGTCTTGCATTATATTTTGCCCACTTATTTATTATTTAAGTCTGAATCAAATTTTAAAAATGTAGTCGAGTTGCACATTAAAATTTGGGTAAACACTTCCATGCTTCTGCTAAACTACAAAAATGGTATCTTTGTCCTTTTGTCTGATGGGTATTGATTGCAGCTAAGAACACTTTTCTCTTGTCCCACCATTCCTCTTCAGAACGAGGCAGTCTAAAGGGTTGTGCTAAATGCTGACTAGGAACTTTTTCTTTCAGATCAAGTTCTGCACATTAGGCTAGGTCAGACTGACACAAAGCACAGCAGACTCAAATACTGACCATATGTTGGTGCAAGTCACCACAGCCGAGTCAGTGCCATTCTGAGGTGGTCTCCTTTGCGTTCTGGGCACACACAGTGTTGAAACTCAAAAGTGGGAATCGGATTGGCTCCACATCTCCTCTGTTGTAATGTCCTACTTGCAAAACTACAGCCATAAGCAGCAGCAGCAGTTCAGACTTTTCCTTGCAGCTCTCTTCCAGTGTGCTTCCACTTGGCTCTGGTTGTATTGCTTTTGATGGCTTTCTGCCATCTGTGTCTCTAGATTCTGCTGCTGAGGGAGTCCATTGTCCCTCTTCTAATATGCAGTGTGGAAACCTGCCCTTGATGAACTCTGATGGCCAGCTAGCTTTCTGTAGGATGCTACTCTGGGATGATCCCTGCTTTCTAACCATCACTGTGGTGAGCTGGATTGGATTTTGCAAACCAGAATGAAGAGGTTTCTCCAGGCATTGTTTCCTACTGATACTTGGTTTATTTCCTCAAGGACTTCTGTAGATAATATCCTGCATTATCTACTTAACTTTTTGTATTAATGTTTTATTGTTATATTTCACTGAAGCATTTAAGCATGTATTCAACATGTGCTTTAAACCAGAGCCTAAATTTGCATTTTAAATTTGCAGTGAGTTCATAGTTATTCATAGTACACAGTTCAGATTTGATCCAAGGTGAAAAAGCAAAATCCTTAATATTTTGCAAGTTAGTTCTTGTGATCTGTAGTCTGTGAAGGCAGCAGACTTCTCTCTTTCCCCCTAAGCATTGATATTGACTATGCTAGTTTACAGGGTAATCATAGTTGTTAATTGTAGTAAATAGTCCTGCATTTGCATTTTATTCTCTGTATATTCTGTGTCATGCCATGGCTTGAGAACTCCAGGTGCTGCTGGAGTTGAGTTGGCTTTCAGTGCTCTGCCCGTGCCTGTGCTGCTCAGTATGGTTTTTCCACGAAAGCTCCGTTTTGTGGTAGCAATAAGACATTTCAGGGCAGTCATTGTACTTTCTCAGGTGAATGGTCACCTACCCTTTCATTTCCTACATTTCAAACACTCCTCCAAATGTATTTTTTTCACCCACCAGTGCACTTTGTTGTCTGAACTGAAAAAGTGTTCTGATAAATGATGTAAATCTGTATTCGATGGAAGTACCAAAAGGTTTCGTATTAAATGTTTTCTGAAATACTCTCTTCCTACTTCACCTGTTAAGTATGTAATTGCTTCTAAAAAGTGCACCAGTATCTTACTTTGGATATTTAAAGTTTGTCCTTAAGTATTTTTCTTCGTGTTCTCAAAAGATTCTTTCAGAGTATTTGAGGTATTTTTAAAGAAAAAAAAAATCCTATAATCGGAAACATATTTTTAACGGCTTCCTTCCCAAATGCCTTGTGAAATTGCCAAGCTGCAAGAATATACCTTTGTTTCTTTACTGTGCTGCATGCTTTCTGTTCAAGCCTCTAGGAGCTGCCTGGAGAGGAGGGCTGCTTTCCTCAGATCTCCAAACCAAAGACCAACTTCTTCCTAAACACAGGCCTTTCACTTGTTCATATTCCTTGGGGATATGTGTAGGTTTATCAGCACTGCTACTGATACATCTCTGCAGAACTACAGCTGTTTTTTCTCTCATGAAGAGACAGTTTTTAAAAATAATTGGAGGTCAGTGTGTGGTGAGGAGGTAGCAGCAGGCACAGGCACTTTGAGGTGCATGCTAGCAACCAAGCAGTGATTTTATGTAATGGCATGACTGCTGTCCTGGAATGTGTGGCCCAAGTGGTGTGTTGGGAGGGTGTTTGTAAATGTGCTTGTGACCAAAGGCTTGCATCACTAAAACCCATGTCATCCAACTCTGAAGATGTCTCTTGGTTGCTGGGTCTGGCAGAGAAAAAATGTCATTTAGAGTTTGGGTTGTGGGGTCTGGCTGCTTTAAATAAGTGTTTAAAGATATGTATGTTTAAAAAAAAAAAAAAATCTCAACAATGAGCAGGAACAAACAAGTCCTGATAAACTTTTTCTTATGCAAACCTTCCATGTACTTGGGCTTTTGTCTAAAGCACTTCAGTCTATTTGACCTCTTGAGAAGATCTCCAGTCCTCAGCCATGTCGAGAAGAGGAAGAGAGGTATGTTGGAGGAACATCTCATCCTGCTAATCCAAGTGTTTTCTGTGCTACTTTAAAAGCTGCAGCATCTAGACCAATCTTTGTGCACTCAAAGATTTTTAGCACGGATTTGGGCAATGTTTCCCTTTTCACACTTCTGCTACAGTAAAACTTCAAGGTCAAATGTAGTGACATACTGTATCCACATTTTTTTTATTACATCATTTTTTATCAAGATAAATTCAATTTTTTTTTTTTTTAAAGAATCTGAAATGAATTTCCACGTTTATGCTAATGAAATGAAGTCAGAGGTTCAGGACTCCTAGCCATATGGAAATATTGTGGCAGATCTGGAATTTGAATAGATCTCTCCAATTCAGTTAAAAGCCCGGCTATATATGGGCTTTTGGGATAATAAAGAGGCTTTTAATCCATTTTTCCCACAGCTGCTGTGTCATACACAGTGTTGTGGATTGCAATTTAATTAGGCCTGCAGCCAGCGCAGAGCACCATCTCCTCTGCTAAGCCTGGCTCTGGAGCAGGAGTGCGCACACGGCTCCGGTTCCTGCAGGGCTCGGGGACCTCGCTGGGCAGGGGCAGAGGCCACCTATGGACTAGTGTCACTCAGTATCTCAGGGTTTGGATGGTTCTTGCTGGGCAGCCTGTGATCAGCTCTCTGAGACCTTGTCCTTTCTTAATAACCTGAAGAGTTAAATATTTAGAGACTCTCAGTAGTAGGTGGCATTTCTGCTATTTGGAGAGTCATCCTAATGTAACTTTTTTATTTGTAGTTCACATTGCATATATTTAGGAACTACTAAACACAGTTTTGGACAGCTGATCCCACTGTAGATTAACGTTTAATTTTAAACATGTAGATTTGCAATTTCCAATATTTCTGTCAACACAATCTCATTTCTGTAAGTTTTCCTAGAAAAGCCATGGAGCTCTCCTGTAAAGATGGGCTCATGTTGTTGCACATCACTGGTGCTGCCACTTAACCCCCCTGATCTGATATTCTGGTGAAGTGTGGTTGTGAAAATTCTAACAGGAATTTTTCCCTCTGGTAGCAATGAATTGGTTAACTGATTTCACCTACATTGCTTCAGAGAAGAAACTGTTGTCCAGCAGGAAGGGGCGTAAACCTTTGGATAAAAGTGCAGCCTGGTAAAATTAGTAATATTTTTTTTAAATTACATGTCATACCAAAGGCCCATCGATATCCTGCATTGTAGTGGCAGTAAATGTTTAGAGGAAATCCAAGAAATACAAGACAGATACAGTAATTGTTCTCTGTGTGTGTTCTTTACTTCTGACAGACTTAAGAGAAGAAAAAGGTTAAACTTTGTTTACTTTAATTTGAAGGTTTTCATGTCTAGTTTCTCTGCTAGTCTCTTAATGTACTGCCGGGTACTGCCTTCAGGCAAGGGGGCTGGATAAAATGGGTAAAACCATGGAGGAGCACTTTGCTTACCCAGTAGTTCTGAAGTTGAAACGGGATGGTATTGAATCAAAAGAATTTGAAAGACCCTTAACTGGTCTTTTTTTAGTCTGAGAATGCTTGAACCTCTTTTACAAAGAGTGAGCTCCTGTTCCAGCAATTACTGAAAGAGAAGCTGTGTCGATACCAACACGATGGGTCCTGTAAGTGTCCGTGCGAAGGCGCCACCTCCAGGGCATTAACTGCCGGGTGGGCGTTCATCTTCCCCTACCAGCGCCACTGGCACCTTGCCGTGGTTGTGACTTAGCAGGTAAGGTATTTACTGCAGGGGGAGGGGGAAAAGGTTTTGCTTGTGTGTGCTGAGCACTTGGAACTGTGTTCTCTGAGACTCGGATGTAACACTCACAGAGTGGCCATGGTTATGGTTGCTGTGGGAACCACAGCGTTCAATTTCAAGGCGCAGAAATGTTGCAGTTGCCATTAATATCCTTATCATTTAATAATATCCTTATGGTATTCAGGGCATAAAACAAAAATACTCGTACAATTCATGTTTTCTTGTAGTTGCTGATGGCAGTGAATGTATTAGGTGAATAAAATCATGAAATTTCTCACCATTAAAATAATTCTGTTAAAACATACGGGGATGCAAAATCAGAAAGTAAACTGCTACTGGTGTTAAGAGTCACGTGGTAAAGTCCTATTGGCATGGAGGTGTCTCCTACCAAGACCTCAGCTCAGCCTGAGCACTGTAAACAAGTTGCAAACTGCAAACAAGTCTCTAAGCACAGAATTATTCCTGCCTCTGGCTTACCCAGTCAAAAAGCAGGAAACTAAATGCTTCCACACATTTCTACAGGGCTGGGAAGAACATCAGCCTGACAGGAGCTCAGAAATGCTTGGAACGCATGTGTGTTCATGTACCTGCAGGAGCTGGTGGCATGAGGGGCCTGATGAAAAGCTGGAGGCTGCCCGGCAGGGTGCAGGGGATGGATGGAGATGGGTGGGTGGATGGATGATCTGTCCCTTCTGCAAGGAAAGAAGAGCTGCAGAGGGACGTTGCAGTGTCTGCAGTGGCCACAGGATGTCTCTCAAGTGCAGAAGCACAGCTCTGGTCGGTGTTCATCTGGAATATTTTTAGAAAGAGCT